TTCTAAAATCAGGTGGACTTGCTAAATATAAATATGAAACTGATCATGAAAAAATTAAGAAAATATTAAGTGAAATTTTAGAAAATACCGAGTTTAAAAATGGTATAGAATTAATTCAAACAAAAATATTCTCTTTACAAGGAGATATTCGTTCATATAAAGGTAATTTAAAAGCTAATTTAAAAGACTTTCTTGATCTTCCAAATCAAGAAATTGTTCCAAATGAACTGACATTTTTTGAAGGAATAGGTTTAAATAAATTTTTAATCATCGAAGAAGATAAACCTTGGTGGGATTGGAATGCCTTCGCCGTTGCAATGATTGGACTTGCTCAAGTCATTGCAGGCGCAGTTTTAATCTCCTTTGGTCTTGTTAATATCGGTGGTGCTTTATTGAATGAAGGTATTTCCGATATGATTTATGCCACTATGGCAGGTCTATCAGGAAATTTTAGTTGGAAAGATTGGGCAATACAGAAATCAATTAGTTTAAGTCTTTCGATCATGACTGCTGGATTTGGAAGATTAGCATCTGCAGGCAACACTGTCGCGAAATTAGGATCCGTATCTCGAGCAGCAATGATTACGAAATTAGTTGGAAAAGCAGCAACGCAATTTGCAACTACATGTTTAACAAATTTTCTAACAGAAAAAATTATGGAACAAATTCAAGAAGGTGTTATACAAAAAATAGTTAGTAGTATCGAAAAAAAATTTTTACAAGGAATACTTAATTCAATAAAGAACAAAGTCGAAAGTCTTTATGCTAATAGCAAAAATGAACAAGAATTTGAAAGTTCATTTCAAACAATGAAAGCAAATACTCAAGGAACATTAGGCAAAAATTTTCTATTACCACAACAGTTTGATGCTATTCGAGTACAACTTATATCTTCTTTACAAAATAGTTATCAGGTACTTACTGAAGGTTTAAAGAAATCGAATTCAAAATATGCTAAATTAGCTTCGAATGCTATTCAAGCAACATTTATGATTAATCAATTATGGAGTATAGTTGAACCTGTTTTACAGCTTCAGCATGCCTACCATGCGTTCATAAGTATTATTGAAGGTGCCGTAGAAAACAAAAATAATAATAATAATACAAAACCTATCAATGATAAACTTGTTAAAGCAAGAGTTGAACAATTAAATGGTATTATTAAAGGATATATATCAATAGAATTAACAAAAAAATTAGATACTACATTAAGACAAATCATTAGTGGAACATTAAGAAAGGTTGGCAAAGCAATTGCACAAACTGCAAAAGATATGATTAATTCAGAGTTTAATGGAAAAAACCCAGTTGATGTATTCAAACAGTCGAACCAAAATGGAAGTCAAGTTTCAGTTGATCAACCTTTAGATAAACAAAATCCCAAGAAGGAACAAGAAGAACAGGCAAAAAGAGAAGATCTACAAAATAATATTAAGAATCCTAAAAGTTTGTCAGAATATTATTCAGAAGAAATTAAAGATAAAGATAGAGCCTTAGGCCTGGCGGACATCAAAATGTTAGCAGATAGTAAAGCAAGAAATATAACTGTTTATAATGTAGATACTGGAGAAAAAGAAGTAATACGACCCTCGGGACTAAGAAAGATACTTGCATTTTTTAAACAATCAGCAAAAATCAATTATAAAGCAGATGAAAATGGAGACATCGGACATTATTTTACTGGTAGAGGTACAGAAACATACAGACAGATCAATGGACATAACAATTGTTTGATAATAGCTTATCATGAATCACTTGGACGAACAGTAAATGAAAGTATGATACAAAAGGAGCGAGATGATTTATGTCGAAATATTAGTCTAGACCCAGAAAAATTCAAAAGATATAGGGAAAACATAATTAGGAGTGGACGTAATCCAATGATAGGAGGTTCTCCCCAAAATCCTGGTTGGAACAATCGTATGTTCTCTAATATTCACATGAAAGCTGGTCATAATTTAGACGAGCAATCAGCTTTTGTTCAAAAAGAAGTACGCCGCATTCTTGAAAACGCTGATCGCGATATTGACAAAGGTGATTTTAAGAAGAAAATAGAGAACACTGTATTGGAAAGAGATGGTCAGGAAAGCAAAAATTTTAAGAGAAAAATTGACTCAGAATATAAATATCCAGGCAGTCACCAATTAACAGGACCACTTACAGGTCATGGAACATTTGATATTCACCATGACCATTCAATGAAAGGAGGAAATACTCCAGGTTCCACTCGATTAATTTACCGATATGAAGGGAAAAATAAACGTTGCAAACTAGTTATTATTGGAATTGTTGATGATCATGGCGATAATGTTAAACCAAAAGAACATATTAAGCCTGGAGAACGAGATGAGTACTTCTATATGAATGATTTTGGCGTCAAAAAGGAGAATACATATGGACACGGAGACAAAAATAGAAAGAAGAATTAAAGCCGTGATGTTTCTATTTTTCAATGTCTAAAAAAGTAGAAAATGACAGAAATTTTTTCATTAGAAAGCAGAAAAAGTAGAAAATATAGCTACATTATTTAAAAATAGTTTAAAGCTTTTCTTTCTTTATCTTAATATAGAATTCTTGCGTTAGTTTTTGATTCTTCTTATGCATAGCCTAGAAAAAAAAACAGACAGGAATAGTGATTAATCTCTATTCTTGATAATATTGTTTATTGGTCACTTCAAATCTCTGAAATATCCCCTAATTCATATTCAACACAAGCTTATACTTATATACGATAGAGATTTCTTTTTGAACCGATATAAAATGTATCAGGCAAATAAAATCCTAAAAAAGAATTCCCATATTTGATGTTTTTCAATTGAATAGTATGATTTTTTTTTCAATAACAGACTTTCATCTTTTTCTCATAAGAATCAATCTTAGAAATATTGTGCTGAAATTATAATTACATCTTTCCTATCTGACCTTTTCGTTCCGTGTTTTCTTGTTCTGTTCTAGTAGTTGTTTTCTGTGCATATTTCTTCTTTCTCTCTTGTACACGAATATCTGCCTTATATTATATATGTAACAGGCACATTTCAGACACATCAAGTAGAGAATAAACAATAATACCGGAAATGATAAATTGGTTTATTCGATCTCTCATAAAATTTTCATTCTGATATACTCATTGTTATATATTTTAGTTTCAGCTATCGTCTTTGACTAGAAAACAAAATTTAACATTGAATTGAATGATGTTAATGATATTTCGAAAACGTTTATTAATCAGTTTTGATGCCTAATGATGCTATTCGATAGAAAATATTATTGGTTCTCGACCTAAACGGAAGTAGACAAACTAATTTGTTTCATTGAAGTGCTGCAAGTTCTTTCCAGCAAGTGTCAAAATCAACTAGCCGAACCTTAAAATGAGTCAACATGGAGTAGTCGGCGCCTTTGAGTATAACTGTCATGTTTATTTTTTTAAAGCGATTTGAAGTCCAAATATTGAGTTTTTGTGAATATCAGCTATATGCAACATTACACTGAATGTTTCAGAGTTCGAAAAATAAAATCTAGATTTCTTGTCTCAAAATCGTTTTAATTATAAATATAGACATTCAGATCGAGCAATCAGACAGGACTCTGAATTTGATCTTCTATGATCTTGGAAGATCATACGAAAAAAAAGTTGTCTCCGAAATCTTATATTCCACATTTTCGTATTTCTTCGTTTATCCGATCTTATGGTTCTTGGCTGACCTCTTCGCTTGCTTAATTTAGGCATAGGAATTTTATTTAACCAAGCTGAAAATAATATTATATCAAAAAAGAAAGTTTTATTATTGACTGGCATCCTTACATCGAGTTTGTTTTAAAAGGTTTTCCAGAAATCTACTAAAGATCCTTTGAGGATCTCAGAAATGTTACTATTTGATTTTTCAGCATTTTTTTAATCCAAGTATACACATTTTCATTTAGTTTCAGTGAAAAAAAGCACATCTGATTGAAAAATGATCTAACGCTTACTCATATAGTATCAATAAAAACAACATAGCTTGACACCAGAAAGTAATAACATTTAATACCATCGCACTCACCATATAGAAACCTTAGGTGCCAGTACGCTTATTGAGCTAACAGTTCATATGATTTTCACTTAAAAATTGTAGATTATATTTTGGGAACAGTTCTGAGTACAAAAGCTCTCTATTTGTTCTTTCGAACTCAATTCTCGATAGATTTATCATATTTATTCCTTGTTCGTTACATAACATAAAATTTCCATTGCCTACGTTTTTCAAAAATGTATATGAGTTCCACAAAACGTAGCGATCAAAATGCAGAGTTCATTTTTTAATGGACAATCTAAAATTGATTGCTGAGACAATTGTACTTTTTCTTTCATATCTGAGCCTATGCCTTTTACAAAATAAAGTTATTGATTCACTTTGTTTTTATTATTACTTTCTCATATAGTCTATATTTTTATCATGTCCATCAAGCTTTTCTTTATTGTTGTTGGTCATGCTTTTGTATAAATTTTTTTAGAAGATATATCATTGTATTAATATGCATATATTTTACTAGCCTTTTCTCTCCATATTCTGTTTTATAATTAAATTAACATTCTTATCAGCAATTTTCATTCACACAATAATCTTATACTGAAATAAAAAAAAATGCATTATATGAAGAAATAATATTGCAATTGTTTGCAATACATTGAAATATTCAAAGGTTTACTTAAACGAGAAAAACAAAAACGGTAGCGGTCACAAAATACGTATTGCATAATTTTAATTGTTTAACTAATCTGTCTTGACTCGGGAAAAACTAGAAAAAAAAGCTTCTTCATGTTTAAAACATAAAAATATCCAAACCTATCAAACTTTTCTGAAAAAAATGAATACTAACCATATCTCTTTAATTTGCTTATGGGCGTAGGTGTCTGTAGACTTTTTAAAAACACTTACCCATGCTCCACAACGGTATTTACATTCATCCTATGATTACAGAGATTATTTTATTGTATCTTTCATTTCGGTGTATCTTCTACAAAATAAAGTTTTTTTTGTTGTTTTAATTTTATTGCTATTTTCTTATACAGCTTATATTTGTCATGGTCACTCAGTTTTTTTTTATTGTTATTTTCCTTCTGTACTGCGTAAACATATTTTGAAAAATTGTGTCATTATATAAAGATGCGTGTTGTACTAGTTTTTTTTTTTTGTAATCTAATGAAATCAATATTCCTATGAACAGTTTTATTCAATATAATGGTTTTATATTGGTCAATACATAAATGATTACTTTAAGCAACAATATCGCAGAAGATTACAATATGCTAAAACCTTCACATATTTACTGAATAATTAACATATTACATGCTAATGAATATTGAAGAAATTCAAAAAAATCTCTGTGCTTTTATCATAAGTTAATGTGAAAAGTTTAATGAATCTGTTGGAATATAAAAAAGATCGATTTGATTAAATGTTATCTTAGTAGGATAGCGATAGTTAAATAATCCTGCTTAAATGAAAGAAATTATTATGTGTTGAATTGTTTTATATTCAAATTTAATTTTAATAGACAAGAATTTATAGATGGAACGACATCAGTGCTCAATTGTTTATTTTATATCCCTCATTTGCGTAATTATTGAAACATAAACAAGATACTTTCATTAATGGAATAGCCTTTGATCAATTTTAATGGCATTAGTTTTTACAATCCTTAGAAATAGATGAGAATATCGATAGATTATTTTCTTCAAATTGAAGCATAATCTCTTTCTGCGATTATTATTTTTATCAAACACTCAACATTATCAATTAGTTTCAGTCCAATTAATTTAAAATAAAACAAAACCCAGACTTCGTTGTATCTTAACAACTTCATCAAATCGAAGTACGATTTCAATAAACTATTTAGTAATCCTGTCACTACTATGCTATATTTCAATATTCAGGATGACGATGACTGTTGATTCTGTTCATAAGAATATAGGACATGATTGGAAAATTTTTTAATTAATAATCATTATTACAAATAAATTTCATTCTGTAATAGCTAAATAATCGATTAATATTCAAGAATGTGTGCTGAGTATCTATCTATCTATCTATATATATATATATAAAGAAAAAAGTCTGTTTGTTTGCTTGCTTGTTCGTTATGCATTTGGATGCCGTACGAGTAAATGGAATGAAATTTTGCATGGAATATCCTTTCCGTCAGAGAAAGGTCATAGCGTAGTTTTCGACCAAAAATTCTCACATCAGGAGGTGTTTGCCCCCTCCTTTTGTTGAATTTACTACAGTAAATCCCTTTTTCAGAGGATGGGTGTGGGTGTGGGTGCGGGTGTGAGTATGTACATTTTCTTCACCCATACCCACACTTAAAGCTACAGCCACACCTGCCAACACCCACACCCACCCACACCTCACACTCACACCTACATCTACACCCAAACCCACCCACACCCTCAGCGCTCACTCTTGTCATTCTTTGTAAGTATTCCAACAACTTACAAGTAACATTGTGATTTGGCCATATTCGTTGCAGTCTTCCACTGCGAACATCTCTGTTAGTGGGAAGAGCTCCGTAGGGTACGCATTCGTAGGAGCCACACCACTTTCCTTCTGGAAAAGTTTTCTAATTTTTCCGATCTACTTGTAAGTGTGGGGTGTGAAATGTGGGTGTGATGCTCTTCATTCGCCGACATCCACACATCATACCCATACCCACACCCAGTCACACCCACATCCACACTTCACAACCACACCAGCAATCACACTCACACCCACATCTACACCCTCAAGATTTTATCATTCTTCAGCTAAAATAATAATCAAACTTTGATAAAAGCTGTTTTCTATGAAATGTGAGGGTAATAGTAGATCACATTTTGTCTCCTATGTGCATTCTCTTCTTGATGTTTCGTAAAAAACCAGATATTAAATCAGATTGTATCGCGATTATGATGGAAGAAACGATCTTTTGACAATCGGCGATAAAATCAGAGCGACAAATCGTGTTTAATTACTGATTCGATATTTGATTGTCGATTATCTATTAATTACAGAAACATTTTAAGATTTAAAAAATATAGAGTTAGATATAATTTCTACAGTTTTTTTAACATAATCAATGAGATTTGGAACAAAAATATATTTATTTTCGATATGAATTTTACTGTTGTGACACGAATGAGATTGGACAATTTTTAAAAACGATCGAACTGCGATTATTCACTTTTTCTTCAATACATTTGATCTTGATTTCGTCGCTTTCGATCAATTCTTTTGGTTCATACATAAGATGTCTGAATTCGCCTGGCGCTTGAATATGCTGCTGTTTAAGTTCTTTATATAATTCCATGGCTATTCGTAGATGTTCAGTGGCCAACTCAGTTTGATTTAATGCTAGGTAAACATCAGCAAATATTTCATAACAAGCAGCAGATATATCTATAGTATATTTTGAACTACGCTCATCATTGATTTTCATAGCCGTTCTTAAATGTTCGGTAGCTAGATCATATTGTTTAAGTGCTATATAAATTTCAGCTAATTCCAGATGACTCTCAGCTGTATGTTTTTTCTTTTGTTCAATATAAAAGTTTTCATTCCCAAAGTCTGGTGTACATGTCATCAATGTATTTTTATGTTTTAACAGTTGATATTTGAGCGCTAAATGATAATCATGTTTATGTCTGAGATAAATCACTGCCACTTGTCTATAAATTGAAGTAACATTGCTATGAAGAATATCTTCGTGTTTCAGATAAATCTCTAAAGCTTTGCCATAATTCAGTAAAGCACCATTGTACTCATAAATCTTGGTCTGTAGCTCCGCTTGTCTTATAAGACAACATACGATGTCGTCATCATCATCATCTCGCATACGATAGTTTAGCAAGTGTTGAAGTTTTAGCTCATGATACTTAGTGGTTTTCAGAGCAATCTGCACTTTTTTGTCGACAATCTCGGTAATATCCATCCTTGATTCACATACGCCAACCAAAGAATGCAGTATCTCTATTGTCTCGTCATGTGTAAGAAGTTTCTTCATTGCCAATTCATAGTAACTTATAGCCAAATCATAATGATTCTTAGCCATGTTTCTATCTTCCGGATCGAATTCATAACAATCATGAGCAAGATCGGAATGAATTTTAGCAATTTCGCTGTAAGCATTTAATTCATTATCGTTTACATATTCATGCCAAATTTCTAATGCATGCTCATAGTCTGAGATTACATGCAAGTCTTTAGGTTGTCCTCTGTCACTTTTGTACGAGCCATGACTGGCAAATCTAACAGCTGAAATCCATTTTTCTGATGGAAATAAACTAATTAGTTCATCGAAAATGGCTTCTGTGTCTCTTTCAAATGAGGCAAGAACACCAATATCTCCAATAGTTTTCACGCAGTTGAACAATCTGCTTTTCACAGTGATATCCTCAAAATCTTTATCGTCTCTCTTTTGTATCCAGTTCCTAAACGATAATTTAATAATCCAAGCTCTTAAATCTGCATCATAAGATACATTAGTAGGAACAAATTGAGTTCCAACCATAAATAGAATTTCAGCTTCTTGATTGAATTGACTTAAATGTGAAATACCGGCATATGG